ACTTGAAGTTGAGGTATTGACCTCAGGCCGCAAACGGCTGATTGTGTTATACCTTTCTTTCACTGACCAAAAGTGAAGTTCAAATCTTTGTCTGAGAGGCTTAATAGCCCCTGACAGAAGATGTGATTCAAAATTGCAAGAGAAATTCTGTGCTTTGTTTTCAGTAGGACTACACAAAAAATGTTACAAAGAAATTTATAATTGAAATCAGTAGGATTCAAAAATAATTCCACTTCAAGTTAAGAAATATTTGGATGTATCCCATAAAGTCGCGTATTCCCTTGAATTTGAATATTTTGAATACCTTATTTACTTGAGTACCATGCGCCCTTGAGTAAGGCGTGCACATGGGTTTTTCAGTTGCAAATTTTCAAAAATCTTATCCCCAAGTAAGACGCACACCCCAATTTTTAGTGAATCTAAAACCATATAATTTCAAATTAAAAACAAAAAATTTGACTTTAGGCATGAATTGAACAAAAATCTCATCAATTTTCAACTTTTTAAGTAATAAAACGTTTTCTTGTTACATTTGCTCAAAACATCTCCATTATAATCAAGTATAATGCACACATAACTTTCTAAAACTTCTTGAAAATGTTGTACCTGCTTATGACGCGAACCCCTTTTTTTCTTCAGAAATTTGGGAAAAAAGGTGCATGTGGTACTCAAGTAAATACAGTATTTGCTTTTAATCTGAATTTCCTCCGAATAATGTCCATCTTACTTGCCTTTATAATTAACACGTGATGATGCACCAGATAAATATTTCTGTGGGAATCAGGAAAGTATTCCAAGAATCAACATCCTCAAAAAGCAAGAAGATGCGAGTAACCTTTTTGAATCGACAATCAAAATTTTTCGAGAATGTTCCCTGAAACATGGATGATATATTTTCTGGATAATCAGTCCCATTAAAACTAGACAACAATTTTAAATCACCTTCATGTGTGAATTTTTTTTTTTACCCGGATTTCCTTCAAACAATCTATTGAAGTAAAAAAAAACAGACTAGGAAGGAATGATTCACTCAAGTTTTCCAAAACTGTAAAAACAGGACTTTTTTTTTTAATAAAGTCGAGCCCGGATGAATAACTCATCTTTGCTTTTACAATTAGAAACTCATTTTAAATAATACCAGAGTGGTCTCAGATTTCAGGTACAGTCAAAGGTGTGCCACATTATTTACTTGAAGCTTCGTCTCCCACAAGACCTCATATTTTCTCCGGATTTTCCAGAAAAACAATGACTCGAGTCATCCCAGTTTCCGCTCCATCATTCCGGGAACCAAGTGTAGAATCTAAAAAAAAGGAAGGTAACAATTAAACAAAAATGTATTCCTTTTTTCTTCTTAGAAATAAGCTGCAGCGCAAACTTGGGGCCGAGTAGTAAAAGCTCGAAGCCTCTCAGTTTCATCCGTCTCCTCCTGTGTGTTTATTCCTCGAAATTAAAGTGAGAAGACCCAAAAAAAAAATTTCGAAAGACAATTTTAAGTGAAAAAGGGGCAAAGAAAAATATATGAAATGTCGCAAGGCAGTGGGCAAGTAAAAAAAAACCAACCTGTGTGTGTGTGTGCGTCCCTTGTGGCACACACTGCACCTGACTCAAAGTTTGCTTGACAAATTTGACCTCCGCTCTGAGGACAGGTCCACACATTTTTCTGCCTTTTGTCCTGTCTGGCTGAGGTTTTTTTTTAATTCTATTTATTTATTTGGTCATATATACATTTTTTTTGTTATACACTGGTGCTGCACCGAGATGTGAGGGGAATTACTTCTCAGACTGTCTCCATATAAGTTGGAATTTCCGGATTGTCAGATCTCGTTTTTCTGCACACTTAAATCAGAAAATTTCTAATAATTTATCATACATGACACAAATTTAGGAATAGTCTCCCAAAATGTCAATCGAATTTTTTTTATCTTGACTTCAAGGCATACAGGAAATAACATCATACAAGAAAGCTATACACAATAAGGAGTCCAAATGACAACAAAAAACAAGCTCACATATTGAAAATTAAAATATAGTTCATGGAAAAAGTACCAAAAAATAAGGGAGGCTCACAGCTAGTGTATTAAAAAATTGGAGTGCATTTTTAGTGATTAATTTAGACTAATTTATTTAGTCCATGGTAAAATAGCTTCTTTTCCAAAAGATGTCATGATTTTTAATTATAATAATGTGACTCTTGGCAAAGTGTCCATAAATGAATAAACTTTTTAAAAATGTTGGGATGTCCAAATGTTTAGAAGCCACTTATTGCAGTGATATTCTTTCTCAGTTGGAAATTTCTGCAAATTGAAAATTATTTCTAATGATTTTTGAGAGCAACTTGAAAGAAAATTCCAGATGAATTCATGAATGTGTGTGTGTGTGTGTGTGTGTGTAAGTATAGTGTGCGCATTGTGCATAATGAGCCCAGTCTGTCTTGGTGAGAATATTTTTTTGTGGTTTTCTTTGTAACAATTTCCTGTTGAAAAATGCGTATCATACGCATTTCTGCATTATAATCAATCCTATCCAGGTGTAACTTGAGTTACGCCTGGATAAATACCTAGCTGTAACTAGAGGGCATTTTGAAACGCCTATAAGGTATGCATTAACTAAAATCCCGAGTAGGCATAACATGGAGAGGTTTGAAATGCGTAGCATTTTTGGCTAGAAATGCGTATAAAACGCATTTTGAAACGCCCAAATTATTTGCTGGG